TATATATATATATATATATATTAAAACATTTATAAAAAAAAATTTGTGAAACAACCCCCAAGTAAATTACCCAACTTTTTTTTAAAATCATTTTCAACCGCACATTCTATAAGATTCATAATTTTTTACTTTTTTAACTACACATTCTAAAAAAAGTCATTTTTTACTTGAAAAAAAAAATCCTTTCTCCAGCAAGCTCTAAGGTGAGGCTATTTATTCTCAAAATGTCTACATGACTATTAAATAAAAATTTGGATTATTTCTGTAATTGCAAACGGATTTTAGAACTAAAATCAAAGTACGAGGATTAAAGGTTGGACAATAACCAATTGCTGGAGGGACTTGGCATGAAATTTTCCTATTTGCACATGTTTCTCACGATAAATGATATTTTTTCTTATTTCACTCTTAGACATTTATTCTTTGTTGAATTCATTCATTTGAAGTCAAATTTTAACAAACAAATTACATCCTTAGGCCTTAATCATTGTTTCAATAGCAAGCCCCTGCCCCCATTTTTTAAAATTCATTTTTTCTGAACCCACATTTAATGGGACCAAACAACTTTTTATCAACTTTTCAATCAAATATTTTATCAAAATCTACTAAAAATCTATTTTCTTACCTAAACTAAATAGAGGTTGAATGATGAAAAATGTGTAAAACTCGATTACATTGTCTTGTGATCTCCGCACCTTTCCAACTTAGGTTCGTGGCCATAAATTTAAGGTGAGGTAGATGTTCATGAGATCCACGTGACTATTAAAATTAAATCTGGATAATTTCTACAATTTTAGATTGATTGAGCAACTATAATAAAATATTGAAAGGCGTGAGGTGTTTTTCCATTTGCACATATTACGAAAAACGAGTGAAGTTTTTCCATTTGGACATGTTCAACGTGTTTCTCACGAAACCAAAAATCATGTAAATATTGATTGCATTGTCGTGTAGTATTTGCATTTTCAATTTTATAAAGATAATTTACCTTTTCAAGATGGGGACATCTAACCCATATATATGAGATAGACATATTTTCAAGAGATCCATGGGATTATTAAATTAAGTCCCTATTTGTTGTAGTTTCTCGTGTTAATGATAATTTTCTTTATTCATTTTTAGTCCTTCAATTTTTGTCCCTATGTATTTTGAGGTGCCATATAGTTAATTAGTGGGATTTATGTTTGGCACATTTTGAATAAATTGGTTTATTATTGCTTCAAGTTTAATCATTGAAATGGTGATGATTTCTCAACATTTTGTAACTTCACGTTTCATAAAAATTAAATAATTTTATTTATTTTTTAATGGTACGAATGGATAGTTTTTATCTGGTGGAATGTGTTTGATGCATGTGTAATGCCAAATACCTCAATAGTAAATTGATCTTATAATGCTTGTGGAGCGAATCCATTTGAAATTTGATATCATAGTAATGTATTTTATTCGTATATGTCCAATTCAAGCCAACATTTCAAGCTTCAAATTCAAATTGGGTCTTGATTCTGGTTAGAAACCACTATGTTCGCACTAGGGATGTGAACGAGCCAAGTCGAGTCGACTCTCGAGCCGAAATTCTAGACTCGGGTAAAATATCTAAGCTTTTTTTCGATCCCGAGTTGCTCGGCAAAAAAAATTAGGCTCAAACCGAGCTTTCGGCTTTGACCTTTCCGAGCCGGGCCGGCTCTGATTTTGTTTGATTTTGGATTTTTTTATTATTATAATTAAAAAGGCAGCAGGCTTGCAACGTGTTGCCCTTAATTTTTTTTAATTATTATTTTTTAAATATACGCTTGGTTCTCTTGAGCCGATGAGTCACATGGGCCGACTCGGGCTTTGCTCGACACCTGAAATTGGGGCTCGACTTTTTTCGAGTCGAGCCACAGGCGGCCCGAACTGAAGAACCCGATTATCATCCCTAGTTCGCACTGACAATCTTACAGAGAGGTAGAGTAGTGGTATCTTTTTCTATTACAGAAGTATCTTTACCATTTTCGGTGCCTATTTGTCTCTTTAATTTTTATGAAATTCTATATTCATCTATTTTGCAATTTCTTCATTTTATTATTCAACCCCTCTTCTTTCCAAGCATCTATCTTTTATTTCTGTCTAATGTTTGTAAAAAGAATAATTAGCACAAAATGTTCATGTCTTTCAATGTTATTGTGCAAAATGTCCTTATATATTTATTTATTTTTTACATTTTTAGCCCTATTTTCATCTTTGATTGTGAAAATGTCATTTTCTCAATAAAAAATGTAAAATGATAGATATACTCCCACATTTAAATCAAACATAAAGAAAAGAAAAATTAAAGAACAAATTGCAATTATATTTTCAAACCTTTTAAAAAAACTGTAAATGAGTTCAAATAAATTATTAAAATAGCAATTAACAGAAAACGTTCATATCTTTAAATATTATTGTGCAAAACATCCATATCTTTCCTTTTTTTTTTTTTATGCATTTCCATCCTTATTTTCACA